CAAACAATATTGATCCCTGAAATTCTTGGTAATACCAATGTTCACTTTGTCTGGTTTTGTTGCAGCATGCCCCATATTACCTCTTTTAAAATATTTGTAATTTTATCACTTGAGTTATATAATCTTTTTAATACCACATTTGCTTCAGATTGATCATATGAATGAGAATGATAACTGATCCACATTGCTTTATGAACTTCAAAACCACCTTTAGCTAAATATTCAATATCTTTGAATTCATCAAAGGGAATCCATTCAATATGACTATAACTATTATCATATCTATTTTTTTTATATTCATAAAGAAATGTGGCTATTTCTTTATTTCCATAATCAGCTGCTAAGTTTTCAATTACCTTGTCTTTGCACCTGTTGCATAATACAACTCTATCCAATTTAACATCCGTGTCAATTAAGTTTTGATATGATTGTTGAATTAATTTTTTACTTTCTTCTTCCTATTTTTTTTTAATCTATATAAAAGTTGTTCTAATGCATCAATTAATTTATTCAATAAATTAATAAGATCATTATTATTTCTTTATTACAATCAGCACAATTTTTTATTAATTTTAAACCTTCAAATAATTCATTTAAAATATTATTAATTCTAATTGATTTATAACCAAATACAGGTGAGATTGGTTTGCATAATAAATCATATCTTGGATAGATTGATTCAATCAACAGTTTTAATTTGTTTAATAATTCAATTTCTTCCATCTTTAAAAGTTTTTTTTCAAATAATTTACGAAATTATATAAAGATATTTTTATTTCCGCATTTTCCAATTGATTTTTCTTTCTTTGCAACATAAATATTTTCTTTTTTATTTCTTCATAAATAATAAGCTTATCACCTAATACTAACTAATACTAATACACATTCCTCTTTGATTCCTTTTTCTAAAAATTAAAATTTTTTTACAAGTCGTACAATTTTCTTATAACAACTATGAGTTGAACGGTTCATTTAATTCATAAATTTTTTTTACATTATTACAATTATGATAGGTCCTTTGTTGTTTGTATTACAAAGTAGTGTCACTAATAATAATAAATTTACACTACACGTTAATAAAAAATTTTAAAATTATTTTCTTTTTGATTTATTAGTTATTCTTTTTTGTTTTTGATAAAAACTCAGTTATTCAATTGAAACATTATTCCCTTCTGACTTGTTATATATATAAAGTTTTTTCTCAATTTAATATATAAGTAAAGATGGCACACGTAAGTATAAAATCAAAAAGAGAATTAATCAAAAAAAAATTTTTATAAAGAAAAAAAAACAGAGAATAAATACCGATCTATTTATTAAATTAATAAATTTAGAGAATGGGCGGACGTAAAAAGAATAATAAAAAAGGATTTCAATTCACTCTTATGGTGGTTGGTAAGCATTAATGAAAAGTTGATAATAAATAAAACACCCCCATATATGATTGTATATTTAATTTGACAATTAGATCTAGATAAAAATAAATAATCAAGTTAAATATTTTTCAACATAGGTGCATCTGGTACTGGCCGTACAACTTTTGTCAATACGCTTTGTGGTAGTGAAGTGTTAAAAGCAAAATTATGTGATTCACCCGAAACCGCTCACGTTGAAGAAGGAATTCGTATTAAACCTGTTACAGTCGGTAATGGATATTTTATTATTATTATTATTATCATCATTATCATTATTATATTATTAAAGGGAGAATATAGATGATTGCTTTAACTTTATATATATATCTTTATCATTGTATTCATGTGTATAGAATTAGAAGAAGATGGCATAAGAATTGCTTTAACAATCGTAGATACACCTGGGTTTGGAGACAACATTGATAATGAATTTTGGTGAGAATGCATATATATATATATTGATATATATATTATTAATGTAGGCGTTAAAAGTAATAATAATATATATATATCCACATAAATATTAGTTTTCAAGAAATCATGGGTTACTTGGAAAGACAATATGATGATATTCTTGCTGAAGAATCTAGAATTAAACGTAATCCAAGATTCAGAGATAACAGAGTTCATGCACTTCTTTATTTCATAACTCCAACAGGTCATTCGTAAGTAATTTTTATACAGTATCTCCTTGAATTTATAATTTAATTATATGATAATAATAAAATTTTTTTATTAAATAAAAGTCTTCGAGAAATTGATATTGAACTCATGAAAAGACTTAGTCCACGTGTAAATGTGATCCCAGTTATTGGTAAAGCTGATACTTGTACACCGGATGAATTGTCAGATTTTAAAAAAAGGGTATAAAAAATAAATATATTATTATTGTTATTAGCAAAAAAAAATTTTTTATGTTACTAACTTTATTATTTTTTATTAATAGATAATGGAAGATATTGATCATTATAACATTCCTATTTATAATTTTCCTTATGATATCGAGGAAGATGATGAAGATACTGTTGAAGAAAATAGTGAATTAAGGGTATGAATTTTTTAATATTGCAATTAACACGTAAAGTTTTTTTTTTGATTATTAGCAAACATTCACATAATTAATTATATATATGTGTGTGTACACTTTAATGCATTAAAGGCACTTTTACCATTTGCTATTATTGGAAGTGAGGAGGATATTATTGTTAATGGAAAACCTGTTCGTGGAAGACAATATCCTTGGGGTGTTGTTGAAGGTAATTAATTATTCACAAGTAATAACAAATATTCCTTATTTAATAACATGAATAAAAGCTTACAAATTTACATCAAATAAAATTTTTTCCTCTAAAAAATAAAAGTTGATAATCCACAACATTCAGATTTTGCAAGATTGAGATCAGCATTATTAAGGTAAATATTTTATTTTATTTTCCTATTATAATTATTACAATTATTATATTTACTTTATATTAAAACTCCATATATATATATATATATATATATATATATTATTTTATATTAAATAGTTCTCATTTACAAGATTTGAAAGAAATCACGCACGACTTTTTATATGAAAATTATCGTACTGAAAAACTTAGTCGAAGCGAAGATAACTCTGATAATGAGTAAGTTAAATCAAAATAATTTCTAATTTTGTTGAATAAAAAAAATTTCCTGAATAAAAATTCTAAATTTATTTTATTTTAATTTTATTTCTAAAAATGATAGAGAACAAAGTAGTAATTTGCCTGATGATCTTGCCACTCAAAGCGTACGTTTGAAGGAAGAACAATTGAAACGTGAAGAAGAGAAGGTAATATTATAAAAAGCTGATTTTTATAATTTCTTTTGCAGTATTTGTTAATTTTTATAATTTTGCATTTAAAAATTAGTTGAGAGAAATTGAATTAAAAGTACAACGTGAAATCACTGAAAAGAGACAAGAGTTATTGGCAAAAGAAGAAGCATTAAGAAGTTTGGAAGCACGTTTAGCTCAATCTAATAATCAAAATTAATTTATTTCACATATTAAAAAATAAAAATATTTATAAGATAATTAAAATACATACATACATACATACATATACAGTAGATTATAGATTATTTATACAAATTATTTACATTTTCATTCTTTTGAATGGTATTTAATAACGTTTACCAGAGACGAAGTTTAAAATTATGTTTATTTGTAATGATTTGTTTTCAATATCTTTGTTTATTTATAATACATTATATATATACATATACTTTATTAATATTAATTGTTTGTTTCGTTAATTTGTTAATTAATTAATTAATTTCTTTATTTTCTCAATTTGATTAATAAATAATATCTTAAAAAAACATTAAAATGTGTGGAAAAAATTGATGATTAATCAATTGGGCTAATTAATATATATGTGGGGGGGGGGAAGAGTGTTCATAATTAAAAATCTTAAAAAAAATATAATATATATACATGAGAAGAGGTTCATAATTAAAAATCTTAAAAAAAAATTTGCGTAACCGATTTTATTTCTTTGGTGTACAATTTCTCCAAAATTAGGTGTTGTTGTCGATTGCCGAGATATATGTAACTTTCGAGTTAGAGTCCAAGTTTATCGGCTAGGATGATAAATTCGTCTGTATATTCAGTGCCAGCATTCCTCCAAGAAATTGTAAAAACTTTTGCCAATTCTACATTACTGATCTTAAAATCAGGAAATTGTTGTGCGAGTCCATTTAACAACTCAAGATAGAATATTAGTTGAGCTGGAGGTAAATTTGAATCTGAATTTTTGTTTTCAAGAAGTATTTGTGCTCTTTCAATATCAGGAACATGAATTTTAATTATTTTCCCATTAGTCAAGCTTGCGATGGTGCAGAGAGATCCCATCATCGTACTTTAATTGATCGTTTTGATAGAATTGTTTAAGAAATAAAAATCGGTCTTGCAATATATTTTTTAAGAAATTTATTTTATATATGTAAAGTAATATCAAGAAAATAAAAATTAAAAAAAAAAAGATTTTTGATCTTTTTAAAAATTTGAAATTTGAAACTTTGCTCTTAAGAGAATTCTATTTATATAAATTTTTCCATGCAATTATGGATTCTACTGTCATATTATTTAAAATTAAGGGGAAAAGGATCCGGGCGTTTATTTTTCAACAAACAAAATCTTTTTTATAATCTAACTTAGTGAGAAACTATTTGCCATATATCAGTGTGTTGCAAAAATAATTGGCAAGAAAAAAACTATTGTTATTTAATTACGAAATGGATCAGTTCTATTTTTATTTTTTTTATTTAAAAGCTAGACGATTTTATTTAATAAAATTAATATGGATCTCTTACTATTTATTGCGCCTCGTGGAAATTTTAAATTCATCTTTAAAGTTGTCACGTTAACCGATCATTGCTACTAATAAATTTTGCGCCATTTTGTTAAAAATGGAAAAAAATAATAAATTATTATTTGATTGCTTGGTAATACTGCACTAAAGGTATGGTATACTTAATTTGCCATTTTGTTTGTAAATATTAAAATAATAAATTTCTATTTATAATTAAACTCCAGTATGGTGGACTCAATTTGTGTTACAAAGTAACATGTGCACATCCCTAAATCAATTTATTTGTTTATTGTGATACAGAAATTGAAATTTTTATTGGTTGATCAAATAATAAAATAATAATATAAATAAATAGTGGAAATTAATTTTCAGAAGTACAGTGAACCCTCCCTAAATGCACGCACTATGTATACCCTCCATAAATGCACGGCACATCTCATCCCCAAGCTTATAGAGAGCTTATAAAATCACCCTCCATAAATGCATGCTCACAAGAAATAGCACTATGTTCTCGAGGGGGGTACACTTATAGAGGGTTCACTGTATCATTAAATTTATTTTTTAAAAAATTATCATTAGAAAACTATAAAATAATAAAAATTTTTTATTATAAATCTTATTTACCTTGTTGTAATTTAATTAAAGCAGCTCTAATATTTATATTGAGATTGTTTGATGGTAAGTTAGAATTGAATTCATCAAAATTATCATCATCATCATCATCATCATTTGGTGATGATAAATCTAATTCATCAGGATTTTCTAATTCAATTTGATCAGTTTTTGTAACTTGACTTTCCAATCTATCATTGTAAGAGGATGATAATACATTAATTCCATCTACAAGATAATCTAAACAATAATGACATTTAAAACTCATCTTTTGAAAACACTCATTATGATATCCGTGACCACATATTAGAACTTTTCCATAAAGTTGTAATTGATCAATTTCTATATTAATATCACAATCTTTTGCATCACAAAATATGTTGAAGTTTGGAGGACTTTTTGTGTGATATCCTGTAGGTAAAGTCCCTATTTTCATAATTTCATTTAATACAAAAAACTTATGACCAGTTGATTTAATTGGTCTTGTTATAGATTGTGGTGCATGCTGTGGAGATGTTGAATTAGGCCAAATGTTTTGAAAAAATTCAATAAGGAAAAGAGCTGTCTGTTTTATCATAATATCAATATTTTTTTTTAGTGTATGGATATTTCTTAGTATTAACAAAAGGTTTCATAAAATCATTATTATGTCTTTGATTATCAATAGATATTGCATCCTTCTGGGTTATAATTTTTACCCACAGTATGTTGATGAATTAGGCTATGAAAATTTTCTACAAAATATTCATTAAATTCTTGTAAATTTTCAGATACAATATTGTACATAGGATGTTCAATGCTTTGCCAATAAAGAACATCAGAGATAAAAGCTATCATTATTTATCATAATTTTTTCTCCCAAATTGTTTCATAATAGTCCAAAGTTGAAAGATTGCTTCCAAATATTCTTCAAAATGACAAAATAAAATTGCATAAATATCCAATGTTGCCGGTACAATATTATCTAATAAATCTAAAAATGTGTGATATTCAAGGTTTTTTTGTATGCCAAATTTATTAATAACTGTATCTCTAATAATCACCCATCCTGATCATGAGATACACAATAAATAATTTACCAACCATGGAGGAGGTGTAAGTGATAAATTTTTTGTTTTCTTAAATATCTTCTTATGTAATAAATTGAAAAATGGGTGATATAATTTTATTGTTGATTCTCTAGTATTTAATGATACATGTAAAGGTCCTAAAAAAGGTACTAGATGAAGTATTTGATTAGGGATATCTATATCATCACCATATAATCTTTTTAAAGTAATAGCTTTACAAACATGATATTGACCAGGAAAAACAGCTGGAACTGGAATGGCATACTTATTTAAATATTCTTGAAGTTCAGATAATTCAACGAATGGTGTTATAGCTTGAAGATAATCAGATAAAGTTTTCAAATCTTGGGAAACAAAATCAACAAGTTTTACAGTATCCATTTTCCTATTTTTATGTAGATTATTTTGTAAATCAATGTCATCATAAGTGAATTGATAAGTTCACTTTCAAGGAGCTTTGAACTATCTGGTATACAAAACCATTTAGAACTTTGTTCCGTATAACTAATCCCAAAACATAAGATATAATCATATTTTAAAGCCCAGCTAAGTAATTCAGCATCCACATTATTAGGATTATGTATTGTATGAATATCATTATCATCAAAAAATGAAGATAAATAGGGTATTGGAGAAAGTCTTGGTGTATGGATCATAGTTGTAGCCATATGTGCAACATCAGATAAGGATGTAGTATTGGGTAATCTTTTTTGATGTATGTCATGGTAATCATCAACCAAATATATCATCGTAGTGGTGAAAAGCAATTTTTTTCGCGGAAATGATGGTAATGCAATTGGAAGGATTAATTTCATAGACGCGATTCCAATTGATTCTAAATTAATCTTTTTACAAAAAAACAATCATGCACGTTTAAGTTATACAACATACAATAATAATAATAAAAATCGGTTTAAAACCGGAGAGAATTTAAATTCAAAAGGTGATTAATTTCTTACTTGTATCCAAAATAGTAAATAATAAATTGAAATTTATTTTTATGCATTTTTTTTGCTTGACATTTGGCATTAGTTTTTGTTTGTTACATCCTATAATCATTTAAATTACCATAACGGATAAAAGAATTGGCGGACAATATTTTTGATGATGATTTACACGACTAAAATTTTTTCCAATGCACACGATAATAATATTGTTCACTGTAATCTATTATCATTGAAAATCGGAAATCGAATCTTATTGATATAAATGAATATAAATACAGAGAGTGTATGTAGTGGTAAAGTTGGTTTTTTTTTTAAAAAATAATAATAAATCATATTTATTGGTTAGTACACGTACGTGTGTACATCACATTTACTTTTTTTGGTTAAAAAATCGTTTCTCTCATTTTTTTAATTAAAAAAAAACCAAAATTAAAAATATGGAATTAGACCCTAAACCTCCTAAAAAAAACAAAAAAACAACTAAAATGGAATATAGATATTTAGGGCATAGCGGGCTTAAAGTATCGGTTCTTTCTCTTGGTGGGTGGGTAACTTTTGGTGGCCAAGTTTCTCCTGGTAATTGATCGATAATCTAATTCATCATGATTAAGCTTGATATATACATTTTTATTTTAAATAATTTCTTTTTAATAATAATAGAAATTACAAGAGAATGTATGCAAGTAGCGTTTGATAATGGAATAAATTATTTTGATACAGCCGAGGTATATGCCGGTGGGAAATCTGAATTAGATATGGGTAATGCAATCAAAATGTTGAATTGGAAACGTTCAGATTTTGTAATATCAACAAAAATATTTTGGGGTGGAAAAGGCCCTAATGATAGAGGGTTATCTAGGAAACATATTGTCGAAGGGTTGAATGCTTCTTTAAAAAGATTAAGTTTATGTTATGTAGATATAGTATTTGCACATCGACCAGATCCTGATACTGTAAGTTGATAATGATGATTAATGAGATGATTAATGGTTAATTGGATCAATTAGATTAAGGATCAGAATTACTGATTAGGATCAATGATGATGATTATTTTTAACTGGATCTATAAATCTTTTTAATTCATATTTATTTATTTTTATTTTTAGCCAATGGAAGAAATAGTTAGAGCATTTAATTTTGTGATTGATCAGGGTAAAGCATTTTATTGGGGAACATCTGAATGGCCTGCATATCAGATCGTTGAAGCACATGGTATAGCAAATAGATTGGGTCTCATACCTCCATTGGTACATTAATTGAGTATTACTATTACCTTTATGGTTTATTATTAATAATCAATATCACAATTATAATTATAATTAAATATTTTTCTTCTACTTATAATAATGATAATAATATAATAATAAATTAGGTCGAACAAGTAAGTTGACAATTAATTAATGATTTAATTATTTAAATCATCAATCAATCAATCAATCAATCAATAAATAAAATCAATCAATCAATCAATTATCAATCAATCAATAATCATCATAATCATAATAATAATTATTAACGTCATCATAATTATTATTATTATTACAGGTACAGTATAATATGTTTCATCGAGAAAGAGTTGAAACCGAATATATTCATTTGTTTAAAGAATATAAAATGGGAGCAGCCACATGGTCACCACTTGCAAGCGGTATTCTAACTGGTAAACATAATAGTCAAATAGCCGAAGGTTCGAGATTAAATCTAAAGGAGAATGCTGTGATGCAACGTTTAAAGGAAGGATTGTTGAGTGATGAAGGGAAAACTAAAATTGAAAAAGTTGAGAAATTAAAGGTAATTTATAATATTTATAATTTTATGCTGTTGATTTCTAAAGAAATAAACTCAGGATCTAATAACACTTTTTGATTATATTTGAATATTTGTTAGCCAATTGCTGATAAACTTAATGCCTCGTTAGCTCAACTTGCACTTGCATGGTAATTCTAATAATAAAACAATATTATAACAATCAATAATCAATAAATAAACATTTATTTGTTTTTTTTTTATTCTTCCCATACAAAAAAAAAGGTGTCTTAAACAATCAAATATAAACACAGTAATCACAGGTGTTTCTAAGCCAGAACAAATTTATGAGAACATAAATGCAGTAGGATTAGCTCCAAAATTAACAGCAGAGATATTAGGAGAAATTGAATTAATACTGGACAATAAACCACCAATACCGTTTAATTTTAGAGATTCATAATTATCATAATAATATGTAATATACAGTTTAATCTAATTAATTAATCACAAGTGTTAAATTATATTTTCATTACTATTTCTATCCCATTTCTATTTCTATTTCCATTTCTATTTATATTTATATTTCTATTTATATTTCTATTTCTATTTAGTAGTTTCTTCGAATTCATTATATCCACTAGATTCTCATTAATTTATCAACCACAACAGGTGTGTGTGTTATCAAGTACACAGTCTTTAGATTTTGAAAACAATCAAAATAAAAAGATAATATGTTTTTATTTTTAAAGACACAATTTAGGTTGCAGGTTATTTTCCATTTCGATGTTGCAATTAAACCAGCATAATATTAAACTTGCTCGTGTGATACATATTTTGAATCAATGAAAAACGTGAACTTTGATCAAAACAAACCAAATAGCATTTATTTTATATAAAAAAATGTCGAGAATCAGAAATATTGAAACAATTTGGATAATATATATGTTCCAAGGCTTTCTCTTCATTTTGGTGCCAAAAACCGATATTTATCATGCAAGTCATCGAGAAATCGTCTTTAAAGACAATAAATTCCCAATAATGTACTTTTTTATTAATATTGTGGCGCCAAAAGTTGGTCCAATCCCCAATCCTAAATCCCTGAAATATACAGGTGGAATCATACTTGCCAAGATATCTTTATTCAAACAATGTCAGGAGGTCTTCCAGCAAGCACTCTTAGAATTTGACAAATAAAAACTTCGAGAATCAAAATTGCTTAACATAATTTAAAAGCAATATTTTTTTTAATTCAGAATTTCGAATTTCAAATTTCAAATTTAATTTCGTTTTGGATTTCGAATTTTCGCTATTACTATCATGATGGACTTGGACTTTTTGAGTTTATAATTGTGGCTAAAAACTCATGATTGCTTATTTTTTTTTTAAAACAGAATCGTGACCAAGTAAAGTGAAGAAATAGTAGTATAGTTGGTTTAGAATTTAAAATCGTTACCATTTTTATAATAAATTTCTAATATTTAAAATTTTTGGAATATAGATAGGACTGTGCTAACAAAACAGGTTAGACTCGAAATTGTTATAGGCATTCAATTTTAAAAAGTTGAAAACAAGTTTCTTCGCCACCAGCTTTTATTGACAAATAAGCTTTTCCTATATCTTAAATGTTTTACTAAATCTAAATGGTAATATCTTGTAACCTATTAGAATTTCCATCAAAAAATGATTGAAAATAATATCACATCCATTCAGATTCTTTTCAAGTAATAAAACGGAATTTCCTACTGCTGAAGTATTGACCACAGTTTTAGCATCATTAATTGTGTTAATTTATTTTTTTAAATATATATTCCATCATCACAATGAAAATTGGTATACAATGTAGTAACGGAAAAAATAAATTGAACATCGTTAACAAAACCAGAATGAATGGACAATAGCTTATTTTAAACATCATCATCACCTATATATATATGTTTATTTTATTATAAATTAATTCCGAACTTTAATGTAACGCAAAGAAATCATTTATTATTATTATTATTTGATACAAAGTATATTATACCGACTTCTTTCTTTAACTATAATGAAAACAAAATTAATATTAACATTATACAAGCGATAAGAATACAATTGTTTATTAATTGTTTGTTAAATCATTAAATACCAATTTTTGTTAAATATATATATAAAAAATCCATGTGCATTTTTTTTTTTTTAAAAATATATTTTAAAATTTAACCAAATGTCAACTACTTTGACAGCTTTATAAAAGAAAGAGTTATGTTTGTTGAAACAAAGGGATCTGAATATTTCTAACATTGAACTTGCAGATACACTGCCTGGAAGAAAGTATCCGAACCTCGATTTTTATTAATTCCGCAAACTTTTACATAATAAAAAAAATTTTGAAAATATCATCATGTAGCTTAGGTTCTAACGAATGTGCATGCAAACTTTCACAATTCTGCTATTTATAATAATTTTTTAACCAAAAAAAAACGAACTTCAATTAATATAAAAAATATAAAAAATGATCATCAAAAATTTTCTAAAAACCAAAATTTTATTAAAACATCACAAGTTCATGCAAATTTTTGCGAATTGTTTTAACTGACACTTCAACATCACTGACACCAACAAATTTTCTTTGAATCTCTTCTGCAGAACTGCGATTATTTTTTAATGCAATTTCTCTGAGAGTT